GGAATCTGTAGGGGCAATAGTGAAAGGACAGGGCATTGTCCTTCCTGTCAGGACTTCATGAGGACTAAAATTAAATTTGGTGTCTGCGCAGATTTTTGCCATTCTCTCTCTGCCCTGTTTTTTGTGATGGAGCAGCTGCTTCTTGCAGCTTTTTAATTTTCTGTATGCATAAGTCTATATGGTTCACCCACTGTTGACTTCTGAGCCATTTGTCTATGTACATTATTTACAGTGTAGCCAGCTGCAGTTATAGCAGTAAAATCAGATGCATTGTTTCCTCTGGTTATTCTTCCTGCAGTTATAGCGGTAAAATCAGATGCATTGTTTCCTCTGGTTATTCTTCCATCTCCCTTTTGATGTCCTCTGCATTTGATTATGGCTACTTTTTCTGGTTCTAAGAGTGCATGATATAAATCTAGAAGTTGTGTTAAATGTTTGACCGGGGTGCCTGCAGAGGTCACAAAACCTTTTCTTCGCCAGTGACACAGGTCCACATGCGTTGCTTGTACTGCATAGGCAGAATCAGTGTAGATGTTTACAATTTTTCCTCTAGCTATTTTGCATGCCTCAGTTACAGCCACTAGTTCTGCCAATTGTGCGGAGGCAGGCTGTGGTAAGATTTGGGCTGCTCTGGTTTCTAAGCCAGCGGGTGTTTCTTCTATCACCGCATAAGACGCTATGAGGCTGCTTGTTGGTAAGTGATGGCTGTGTCCATCACAATAGAAGGTCATTTGTGCCTTTGGGAGGGGCTATTTACTTAAGGAGGGATGCAGCTGCATCTCCTTTTGTGTTTGGGCTGCACCGTCATGGTCCTGTGCAGTCTCCATTTGGGAGGCCATATTGGCGCCAGAGCTAGAAAAATGGACATGGGGTTTGTTCAGAAGCTGTTGGAGGCCGTTAACTCTATGGGCTGACAACGTGAATGCTTGTGAGTCCAGAAAAGCTTCGACTCCGTGAGTGGTATGTACAATGGTTTGGTTGCTCATGGTTATGTGTGAAGTTTTCATTATTGCCTTTCCAATTGTAGCCACATGTCTGACACATGTAGGATATCCCATTTCTACATTGTCAAGTCTGGAGCTGTAATACATCAGAACCTTTCTGTCTGTGCTCCCACCTTCCCCCTTTTGAAACAGAACGGCATTCACATATTCGTTCTTTTCATCAACATCTAAGTGAAACGGTTGGGAGTAGTCTGGGGCATGAAGATGGCAAGCATTATCATTGGGCCTAAATTCTTTACTTTAAAGATAACTGAAGGGGGACAGGCAAAGTGTGGAGCACAAGCTTCTTCTAATGCATAGAGATGATGCAAATTTTCAGGTAGGGAGATGGCAGCCGCCACTCCTTCAGAACCGACATAGATGTCACTGACCGAGACACTTGGAAAATCACCGGAGATTTGATATTGTTGGTTCACACCGTGCCACAAAGCATCATAGTTTTCATCACCTTCTAACTCATAGTTAAAGGTGCAGTGAGGTGGGTCTAAGGAATCAGAGTACAGGTGTATGATTGACATCCATGGAAGCCACTGCGAGAGAGCAGTATGGAGTGGAGTTTCATTAAACTCAAGGATCAAACCCCACCACATCTGAGTCATATTTTCTGATGAAGGGGAGCCCAGGTCTGCAGGAGTATGCATGCCTGGGGGTTGCACAGCGGTGCACAGTCCCATCTGGGAAAGTGATGTCCACATGGTTTGGGGCCAAAAGAAGTGAAATGTTTTGAGAGCACAAGATGTCTCTGGCCAGTAGGTTGATGGGGCATGAAGGAGATAAGAGAAAAGAGTGATGAGAAGACAAAGAGTTCCACTTGCAGGGAACAGGGATAGACAGAGGCCACTCTTCTGTGAGTCCCGAGAAGCCAACAACAGGTACAGTATTCCTGGATAGTGGGAGTGGCGTGTTCAGAGTGGAATACCTGGCTCCTGTGTC